TGACTTCTGTGGACATCCATGGCTTTTTATTTTATTTTTATTTTTATTTTCTTCTTCTTTTTTCTCTAAATGTACCAAACTGTTGATTTGGCCACTCCTAATATCCCTGATATCTCTCTGATGGATTTGTTTTGTTTTTGAAGCCCAACGATGGCTTTTTATGGAGAGCTCATTTGACCTCATGATGAGGGTTCATTTTCAGTCTGTCAGTTGACGCCACGTCGAGACCGACGAATAGGAATCTCGCTAGAGAGGCCAATCTACTTCGAGTGAAACTAAGGGGGCTTTCACACTGGCAGTTTAGTTCGGAACGGGGCACGGTTCGCATGAAAAATCTCTAATGTGAACGCTGTCATGGGACCTGGGTGCGCACTGGGGTACTGAACCCGAGACTACCTGGAGGAGGTGGTCTGAGTTTGGTTGCTCCCGAATTGTGCTGCGATTCACGTGTATGTGAAAGCAACACGGACTCGGGTGCGCACTTGTTCAGGAAGTAAAGTATCCTGCGCATGCGTTTTAGCCGATTATGATGTATTAAGTTAAAGAAAACACACGTAAGGGATGAAGATTTACCCTGGATACGAGCGAGAGTGAGTCTGCAGTGTATTCGCGCATAGTGCGTGCAATCAGGGCAACAAATGAATGGAAATCCACTGTCTCCTTAAAAGAGTCCATTTGCAAGCAGCGGAAAGACAGCTTATGCGAAACACACACACAACCTGCGTTGTTTACTCAGCTATGAATAATAGCACCAAATTAATAAAAAACACAATATATTGACCCGCGTCGTGTTTTCTATCATGCGCCGTGCACGTTTGCAATTACGTAAGATGCACGCAAACGCACCAGAGTTCGATAGAATCAGGTTGAGTGTGAAACCAGACCAACGCTGCGGGGGGCGCCGGGAACAATCGCGCCCGGCCTCGGACCGCAGCAAACGAGCCCAGTGTAAAAGCCCCCTAAAGAAGCCAATGCACATTGGCGTGCAATCATTTGCATCAGCTGTGCAGCCTCGCAGCGCGGGTATATAACGAGCAGCTGGTGTGATTGCACTTCGGCTTTTTGCTTCGGAGCCAACCACTTCGATGCCTCTACTGAGTTTGAAACTTCAAATGAGCCTTTCTGGACCTCTCCTTCCCTGTGCGAGGCTGCACAGGCCTTTTCTGTGCTTTGCGTTTGAGGGTCGAGCATATCAGTATACAGTCCTGCCCTTCGGGCTGTCCCTGTCTCCCCGTGTCTTCACGAAAGTCACGGTGGGGGCCCTTGTTCCCATGAGAGAACAGGGCGTTCGAATCCTCAACTATCTCGATGACATACTAGCACACTCTCGAGATCAGCTATGATACGCATATGCATATGCATATGATATGCAGTTTACGTGTGCATACACTATACTAACTATAAAAACAAAAGCTTATTTGATGTGGCATATTTACAGTAAAAAGTTTATAACAAAAACTAGTCAACGAAATGTTGTCTTTCATAATTTGTCTGTAACATATTGTTGCGATCTCATGAAAGTGCGTATCTATAGCACAAATTTAATTTCTCTCAAAAATGTTTTGTCAAAAATAAACTAATCAACTGTTATAGTACAATTTTCAATTCAAGATGTTTCCAACTCTAACTTTGAACCAATTCTATAGAATGGCCCATATAGCAATGGTCGCCAGAGTCAAATGTGACGTCACGATACGGGCGTGGGCGCGAACTGGTTGGCAGAAAGAACCAAAACATGTCACAGCAGTCTACCTGTGTTTTGTCAGCATATGCTAATTCTTTGTCCGAAGAAGCTAAAAGGAGATATAAGGTTAAGTGTTCATATGCTTACCGGTAATTTCATTTGCATTTGCATAGAGACACTAAAATAAAATGTTGTTCTTGTAATTACTTTTGTAGTATTGGGTGCTTATTCATATAAAGCTGCAGTGTCAGACAAACTAAATGACATGTAAAAATCCTTAAATGTATATTAAATATGTAAAGAATATGATTCATTGTTAATACAAATAAGGAGTTTAAGCGTGAAATAAAATGTGTAAATTGCTAAATTGGTTTGTTTTTGAAATTTACAATTGCAATATGTTCCCTGCGCTCACGCACTACAGTTTCACATGGTTTTAAGTCATAATATAAATTAACCGATTTAATCGAGGCAGTGAAATTATAATCAAATTTTTTTTGTCAATTGATTAGCTCGATTCATCGTTTCAGCCCTATAACAAACAATATAACTAATCATCATCATCATTTTCATTTATTTTAGGCAATGGCACAGACCATTCAAATCATAGTAAAGTCATGCCACCAACTTTTGCTAGAGATTGCATACTGCAGCACAAATAGTCACAATGCTGTCAGCGTGTGGAACCATATGCATACTCATGCTAGTACTTAATATTTTAAAGTTTTTTATCCTCTCAATTGCTCTCTCGATATGTATCCGTACATGGGCAATCTTCCTGGTCTGTTCCACATCTCTTGCACTAAGCTGAGTTTTCCCTCTGGTAAAGGCAGGAATGACTAGAGTTTCTCCATGATTCGCTAACTCCTCAGCAATCAGGAAGCCTCGGTCTGCCATCACTTGGTCCCCATACTGAAGCTTGTCAAGAAATCCACTCCGAAGTGTTATCACTTTATCGGATGTCCTCCCACCAAATGCTTTTGAGACAAAGGATATTGCACCTGTTGGTGTAATGGACACTAACAACTTTATGGTGTTATGGTGTTTATAATTGGACAATTTCTGTGCCCTTGCTGTAAGTTGTCCAGGTCGCTGAATATAAACTTCAAAGCAGTCAATAATACTGCAACACTTTGGATATGATGCTTTAAAGACACATGGCATGTTCTGTATCAGGTTTTCTTTCTCTGGCCACTGAATTAGAAAGAACAATTTATGGCTAAAATGGGTAGACCATGATTAATAATATCTGAAACTGTAGTGAGAGAAACCCTGAAACGATAAGCCAAGTCCTGGTGTTGTAAATTTAGTCTTAACTTCATTAATATGCACAAAAGAACACTCTTAGATGACATGACTTTGCTTGTTGGCAGGTCGCTGGTTACATATGAAAGAATCCACTGAAACAAAGCCATAGATGGAAGTCCAGTATGAAACAGCAGCCTGCGGTCACTCTGGGTCACTTGCTCCTCGAAACACCACATGGAAAGAACCTATATGAGGATATATGCGCATATATGAAACCTATATGCAGTTTATATGCACATATATGCTTCATATATACAGCATATATGCACATATATGATAATATATATGCTGCATATATGCATATTTATTGCACATATAGGCAAAACTGAGGTGCATATATGTGCATATACAGGCATATAGGTCTCCTGTATTGCTTCTTTTTATCCACATATAAGCCCTATATGTGCATACATGACTCCTATATAGCTCATGGCAGGATCTGGTCATTATACCTCACTTTGGCAACTGTCATACATGATGCCTAGCTCATATTTTCTATTATCGAGGCAATAACTAGAACTAACTAAAAAAATAAATTATGCAAGAACTGTATATGTGCGAACATGAAATTGGTATCACATGTAATTGGCATGTTATGGAATTTAACTATGGCAATTAAGTGAGAGGAGATGGAAAGCTATTACAAGGTCAATTCTTTCTTGTATGAAGAAAGTGGAAAAGAAGGAAATAACAAAATGGTTTGTCGTTTTTTTATTTTGTCAATCAAGCCCTTTTTCCAATTTCAAGTCACTTCCAGATTTACATTACAGCTCATTCACATCCACACATTCACCGTTCCACCAAATGCAATGCAAAATGCAATGTTTTCTGTGTTGTCTTAATGCAGTTTCTATATGAATATGGCTGAAAGATCATTACAGTCTAAATGTAGCAACAAAAGAAAAAGAAAAAAAAAGAACAGAACATACATTGAAGTAATCATCTTCATCATCATCATCATCATCATCATCATCCCATCTATCTGAGCATTTCACTATGGTTAATGAATTTGAAGACAAGCATTTTGAGTCTGTAAAGTTTTTAAAAAAATCGAAAAGCCCAAAGATCTGTATCTCTGCTAAATTAATTTAATATATGTTTGAGATGGCCTTTATCTTTTTTTCTTTTTCTTTTCTTTTCTTTTTTTCCAAATTATTGTTGTTTCAACTTATACTTATCAAATGTGAAAATCTGTAAAAGAAATGTGTCAAGAACTTGATATCAAACTGTAATTAAAAAAAAAAAAAAAAAAAAATTCTCCACTCTGCTGCTACCATGGCTACAGCGCCGCGTAGTTGATGACGTCATCCGCCTGACGTTTGACGATTCGCGCCGAAAGATATCGGCTGGGAGTGAAAATGGCGATATCAGCGTTGGAGATCCGCTATGTCCTACTTATCATCAATCGTAAGTATTCCTAATTATAATATTTATTAGCAGGGTTTTTTCTGGAGATGGATATTGTGGTGGCAGAGAAGTATAAACTTAGAAATTGTATGGGCTGAAAGTTTAACACGTGTTTGGCAAAATAAATGCTATGTTGTAACTTACTGAGGTAAAGTTAGTGTGGGTGCTCATAACGTCAGCCGTTGATAAGATTCAAATTAGAATTATATTTATGTGTCTCTTTCTAGAGGAATTCGTTGAGGGTTAACGTTAACAAAAGTCATGGCCTAGCCCTAGAGAACATAACGTTACAGTTCATGAGAATAAATGATGCTTCTCTGCCTTCAACGGCTCAAGAAGTCAATCGGCTCCAGAGAAAAAACCCTGGGGAATTTGAATTTGGGAGAAATTGGAGAAAGACATTTTTTTTTAATTGCGTTCACAACCAGGTTTCCTCTCCAGAGCCTTATCAATGGGCTTTGGAGGGTTGTAGCTTGCGTTCACAGCTGCAGGAAATGTCTTTCGAATAGTAACGTTAACGTTAGGGCACTGAATTGCTGGGTGCTATTCTGCTTTAGTGATTGTAATTGTTTTTTCTTTAGGCTATATAACTTCTTTCTAGAAATCCCTCAAATGAATAGTGACCTCGCCATTATTGCTCAAAAGGTAAGTTCCACTGATTTTCATTGCTTTTTAAAATTGTTTCTCAAGCAGAGCTGTAGAGACTTGTGATGTTGGGCTGATTGATAGTGTTTATTATTTGATGTATTTGCACTTTAATTTATTGAAGAGAATGACTATATTTTTGTTCTATGAACAAGACTGGAAGGAGTCCTGTGGAGGATCTAGATGTCTCCTTCTCGACTTTTGGAGAAGTGCAACCGGTGAGTAACCCCCTTGCATTTGTATTTATTTAGTTTACTTGTTACTCAAACAGAGCTATATGGATTTTTATGATGTTTGGCTGATTTTTTTTTATTGATTTTTTTTTATGTTTGGCTATAAATTTATTGACATGTTTAATGTTTTCCAAGCCCCCCCTGTAAATAAGAATCTATAGTGGCTTGCTTGGATGAATAAGAATTGTTGTAGAGTTTTACTAAGTTTCTTTCTTCTCTAAGACTCCAGAGAGGAGACCGAGCCCTTTAAAGAGAGTCCCATGGTGACTGAGCGCTTTCGAGAGACACCACAGGTGTGTGTAACCCTTATATACCTCAGATTTTTCTGTACTTATTTTACTTAAGGCTCCAACTGAGCTATAGGGATTTTTATGTTGGGATAGTTAGTGGTAATATGTAATTTACTTGCCCCATATGCATACAATTGTTGAAGTTTTACAATTGAGTTTAACAATGTTTTTCTTCTCTAACAAGACTGCAGCAACAGCTGAGACCACAGCGAAAACACAGGTGAATAACATTATGTAGTAAGGATGGGTATAAACTGTGTGCTTTGTAAGAGCCAATTAGTGTTATAAGAGACAATCATCCTTTCCTCCTGCCCCCCTTCACTCCTCTCCACCCACTGTCTTTTCTCCTACCCTACTCTCCATCCAACCTCCTCCTTCTCTCCTTTAATAACGTTTAGGGCAATGATTAATTTGTTTCATATCTTTATCATTAATCTGCATTTATACATCATAACCTATTAACTTTTGAGAAGCTAAGCATAAGAATCAATATGAAACATGAAAAAGTTTCTAAAAGTTGCCAATAAATTAATATTGTGATGTGAAATTATTTTTCAGATTGAAGTTAAAGGGCTCTGGGGTGTTTTGCCAGGCAGAAGCGTGGAAAGCAGCCCGCCTTGCCACCTCTGCCACTGCCATGGTGCCGAATCTGCTGCTGGGCACCTTTGATTTGGAGACTTTGCTGAAAAGCAACCTGAATGGTACTAAACAACATGTTCCTAATCTCTTCTGTCCTTGAAAAAAAACAAGTCAATCATATTCTGCGGAATAAATTATGTTTGTGTGCGGGCATACCATCGCTTTTTTACTTGCCATTTTTGTATGTGTATATAAAAAATCTCTTGTTTTCACCACCTTCATTTTACCCCCCTTTCATAATAATTTTGAAATATTACTTTAAGGTGGGAAGCCAACCAGAGGGGATGGGGAGCAGCTGGTCGCCCTTGACCAAATTAAAAAGGCAGCCATTATTGGTGAGTAAATGCATAATGCGTTGAGAAGGGAAAACAAAACTTTTAAGACTTTATAAGTTCACCACTTTAACCATAGCCTACTTGTATCAATATTTATTAGGCATCAATGGAGACTGTATAATGTAGGGCACCCATTATTGTTACTGTATCTGCTTGGAACCTATAATACTAATTCATTGCTTGCTCACTTCTTGATCCTACCTTTCCTCTTCTAAAGCCACATTTCTGAAATTTTTCTATCCATGAATTTTCTTTGCTTTGGATGCACATGGTTGACCGTGTGACTGTTAACAATGCAGTTCCCATGACGGACATGTGCATATGAAAGAACGATGCCGCTAAAAAAAAAAGGGGGACGATGTTTCCAATCAGAATTTCTTTCAGATTTAGCAGAATCCAATCAGAATCTTCCAATTGACGTGTTTACATGACGCATTTTTTATTATGATCAGCCCTTTATCCAAAATGTGTGTCCAATCGCAGCTGTACTGTAAGCACTTTGGGTTCCTGATGAAGCAATATATTGTTATTATTATTATTATACTGTCTTATTATTTTTGTCTTCTCTAGATGCTACATTGAAGAAGTGGCCGGCAACCAGCCGAGGGGAGATAGGCACATCTATCAATTCGAAGCTCACGGAGCTGAGAAGATCAACAAGATAAATTGGGTTTTTTTTCTGTACAGTTTTTTGTCTTATTTTTGTTCTTGTACTATTTGATTGTTCTTGAGTAAATAAATAATTTAAATTTCTACATTTTGGGCTATTATTTATGTTGCCTAGTAGCTATGGATTTTAATAATTATACTAATATATAGGTAAACATATAGCTGGATATATACGTGCATATATGTACCTATATAGGTACATACACTCACCGGCCACTTTATTAGGTACCCCATGCTAGTAACGGGTTGGACCCCCTTTTGCCTTCAGAACTGCCTCAATTCTTCGTGGCATAGATTCAACAAGGTGCTGGAAGCATTCCTCAGGGAGTTTGGTCCATATTGACATGATGGCATCACACAGTTGCCGCAGATTTGTCGGCTGCACATCCATGATGCGAATCTCCCGTTCCACCACATCCCAAAGATGCTCTATTGGGTTGAGATCTGGTGACTGTGGAGGCCATTTTAGTACAGTGAACTCATTGTCATGTTCAAGAAACCAATTTGAAATGATTAGAGCTTTGTGACATGGTGGAAGTAGCCATCAGAGGATGGGTACATGGTGGCCATAAAGGGATGGACATGGTCAGAAACAATGCTCAGGTAGGCCGTGGCATTTAAACGATGCCCAATTGGCACTAAGGGGCCTAAAGTGTGCCAGGAAAACATCCCCCACACCATTACACCACCACCACCAGCCTGCACAGTGGTAACAAGGCATGATGGTTCCATGTTCTCATTCTGTTTACGCCAAATTCTGACTCTAACATCTGAATGTCTCAACAGAAATCGAGACTCATCAGACCAGGCAACATTTTTCCAGTCTTCAACTGTTCAATTTTGGTGAGCTCTTGCAAATTGTAGCCTCTTTTTCCTATTTGTAGTGGAGATGAGTGGTACCCGGTGGAGTCTTCTGCTGTTGTAGCCCATCCGCCTCAAGGTTGTGCGTGTTGTGGCTTCACAAATGCTTTGCTGCATACCTCGGTTGTAACGAGTGGTTATTTCAGTCACTGTTGCCCTTCTATCAGCTCGAACCAGTCTGGCCATTCTCCTCTGACCTCTGGCATCAACAAGGCATTTCCGCCCACAGAACTGCCGCTCACTGGATGTTTTTTCTTTTTCGGACCATTCTCTGTAAACCCTAGAGATCGTTGTGCGTGAAAATCCCAGTAGATTAGCAGTTTCTGAAATACTCAGACCAGCCCTTCTGGCACCAACAATCCTGCCACGTTCAAAGTCACTCAAATCACCTTTCTTCCCCATACTGATGCTCGGTTTGAACTGCAGGAGATTGTCTTGACCATGTCTACATGCCTAAATGCACTGAGTTGCCGCCATGTGATTGGCTGCTTAGAAATTAAGTGTTAACGAGCAGTGGGACAGGTGTACCTAATAAAGTGGCCGGTGAGTGTATATGCACGTATATATGCACATATATAGGTTCATATATGCACATACATATGCACCTATATAGGTACATACATGCACCAATATATGTACATATATGCACACATATATGCACCTATATATTGGCATATATGCACCTATATATGTACATATATGCACACATATATGCACCTATATAAGTACATATATGGACGTGTATATATGTACACATATATGCACACATCTATGTACATGTATGTGCATATATGTACATATAATATAGGAAAACGGCCAATTTTATATATGTCACATATATTGAAATCCTATATCAAAACCTATATTAAAACATATATGTTTATATAGGTTCTTTCCATGTAATTTCCCTTTGAGATCTGCGTTCTCAGACTGAAGTCTCTCCATTTCAGAGTAAAGTTGTTGGTTCTCCAGTCTAAGTTTAACCATTTTTCTCAAACAACTGTCATGCTGATATATATCAGATGGACCTGGAATTGTATGAACAGATATTAATAAAATAAATCTGTACTGAAATTATGTTGAGATATATTTCATTAAGATGGAATTTAAACACACCTGGCAATTCTGGTTCTGCAGAAGTAGTCTCCTCGTCCAAGAGGGGCAATGCAACCTCATTGTGCTTTCTCTCATTCTCCCGCTTTTCCGCTCTCAACAATCTTGCCTTCCATTGTTCTGGATTATGTTTATCCTTGTCATATCCCATATTAACAGATGGCACAAAATCGGGGGATGACTGATCATTGCTTTTCACACCTGCATATCACAACAATGTTTTTTTTTTAAATACCTTAACTTGTTTAAAAACAACAACAATAACAATTGCACTGTCAACAACATGCTCACACCATGGAAGTATAATCAATGTTATTATACTTGCTCAGTCACACTAGCATGCCCACAACAAGTTATGTAAACAAAGACTTTGACTTTGACATGTCTTCCGAGGTATTTTGTACAGTTATTCATTCATTAATTAACCCATCAATGCGATAGAACCTACTAGTAACATTTATTTTAAAAATTTGTTTTAATTTTTAACGCAAAATGCACATACCCGTGACAAAATGTAGGTAGCAGACGCGATCGTGGTCCGCTGGCTCCCATTGTTTTCCGCTGGGTTCTAGACGCCAAATTGCAGAAATCCACAGCTTTCTTCTTGATTCAGGCTGTTTAGGTACGCGGTAGAAGCTCTTGGGGTTACTCTTATCGAACCTGTTAACACAGCCAATCACACAGCATGATACAACCATCTTTCTTCTGTGTTTGCGCTGCGCAGGAAGCGGCCATTACTTTTCTTCTGCCAACCAGAGCGCATGTAACCGCGTCGTGACGTCACGGGCGAAGATCGCTATAGCCTATTTGAACAGGATTTGTTTCCATGTATGACTAAAAATGTGCTTTTGACTTTCATTTATATTTTGATTATTTATATATATATATATATATATATATATATATATATATATATGTGTGTGTGTGTCCAACAGCAACAGCAACAGCACGCAACAGCACCCGTCGTAACTGCCGTCGTAAATGTAGAGAATTTTCTGACATGATTCTACGTACAGCACTCCTTGTTATGTGTCTGATAACATCTATCAAAGTAGCCTTTAAGCAGGCGATACAAAGTGGTAAAATTTACAAACACCGCCGGCAAGTTCTGGACTCTAACGTTACCCCAGAACATCTATCGTCGGCCTGTCATATTCCATCTACAGAGTTCACGGATTATGAACGATTGCTGACAAAAAATGAATGGATACATTTCCAGTATCATGAAAGACAATTTAGGAAAGGCCTGGATACTAAGCGATTAGAAGAAAAACAAAACTTTGTACTCACCGGAGATTTCAGGAAGTGGTCAAAGTTGTTTACAATTCTCAACGGGGCTTTCTTCAAAACCGGAATATTTTCCACAAACCGCACAGATGGAGGACAACTTGGACTACCGTTACTCAAGTATGTAGTGCGGATTTTAAGGACTTTGCCACTAGATGATAATGCGCGATCTAAATCGGGCCCTGTTGCAAACCCGGCCGACTGGATTGAAAAACAACTGCGGTACCTGCGGGAGGTGATACAACCAGCGATTGCGTCTGCCACACGACAGCATCAGAGAAATCCTCAAAAGGTAGGAAAAAACAAACTAACCTAT